GCGTTTCTAGTTCAGGATGAGATACCGCACCAACTGGAAGAATCGCTTGTAAACTGTTCTGTTTCTTGTTTTTATAGGAAAAAAGTGGATTTTTTGATCCAATCCTTTTTTTTTCAGGAAAGCAACAACAAAAGACGATCTCTGAACAATCATTACGAGTAAGTTTTTATTTACTTTGTTTTCGAATATCGAATTTTGATTGGCAATTTATTTTTGTTTTGTCTTTTTTTATTTTTTTGTTTAGGATTTCAAATTTGAGCATCAGCGCAATAAGTAGCCAAGCAAGTCCTCTCTTGAAGATATTTTCAGGATAACCTATGTAATGTTATTATCATGCCATGCGGAACTGAGAGTACGGCACTGAACATCGGATGTGTCGATCTGCTGATATGTCTCGATGAGGGGTTCGTTTTTCGATTTCGGATTTTAAAGTATTTTTGGTCCAAAGTAATTTCTTGCCCTTTTTGCATGTTTTTGAATTTTTCGCAAAATCACAGAGATGTAAGAATTTGTTTTCCTTCCATACTTTTCCAAGATTCGCTTGTCTGCGGAGTCCGAGTGGTTGCATTTTGTCAACAAATTGCTGGTATTTTTCTCGTTTGAGATTTGCTTAGATGCAAGCGCATGGCTGTTTTGTTCTCCTGGGATGTGGATTTCAACCCACCAGGCTTATTTTGCCATTGAATTAAGCCTACGAACCGTAACGGATGAAACCCCCTGCTGCTGAGTTTATACTTTCAATTTGAACCTAAGAAAACACCACTTGCCGCATCGCAAAGATGTCCAGTTGCTGCTTAGAAGGCTTCGGATTATTATTTTTTTTTTTTTTTGGCCTTGACCTGTATGCCTAATTTCGTAAATTTCACATTAAATTAAAGTCAAGAAATTCGGTGAGTCATCTCCTCCTGTTCATTTTTAGCCTCTCGACGCTTCATTATACAGGAACGATCAAAGTGAGCATTGATGGCAGCTTAAACGCACTTTGCTCAGCAAACTATGAAACGGTTTGTATCTTCTCTTTGGTCATACCCAAAAGAATTTTTGAAAAAAAATTTTTTTTAAAAATGAAATTTTAACAAATTTTGCCTTGTATTTGAAGAAAAATTTGATCAGCTGTTGTTTCATCGTCGCATTTCTTCTCACCAGTGGTGTAGCTGGCAACTTTTGTGATCCTATTTAAATATTCTTTCATCCACATAATTCCATTTGGCCGTTCAAACTGGACTTCCGACCATATTGATGATTTTC